TGATATAAAAGTGATCATGTAAAATCCTAAAGACATGATAATATTCGAACAAATAAGAAATTTTCATATAACTATATATAATAAAAGCAGGACAGTAAACTAGACAGACCAGTCATCGACCGGTAGACCGGCAATCAACCGGTAGACCGGCAATCGATCGGTAGACCGGCAATCGACCGGTAGACCGGTAATGAACCGGTCTACCGGCAATGGGCCGGTCTATCGGCAGTCGACCGGTCTACCGGCAGACCGGCCGGTCTAAAACTCGTACCGGTACCGGACCGGACCGGCCGGTAACCGGTACCGGTTCCATCTCTGCTGTGAAGCCTTGGAACACCAATTCTATCAAAATATTCCGCTTTTCTAGCGGTATGTTCCAATAATTCCATGTGCACTGATTAAACTGAGTAGATAGTGCCGATAGTCAGTCAATTGAAACTGTACACTTCTTATTTAAGTTTTTATTGACATATATCGAGAATACAGATACAACAGTTCCATATTAATTTCGACTTTAAGAATTTTTTAAAAGTTTATTTCGAAGAATTCACCTGAGCTTTATAATGTCAACTGTCTTAAGTGCAGTCAAGGATATGGAAAATTAAAAATTTATCAAGGCAAAAAATATGACACTTGTTTCAATCTATCTTAGTATTCATTTATTGCCAAATAGAAAGAATTAAGAAAAGAATAAGTACTTGATGGATTCTTTCGAATTATGCATCTTTTTTAATATGAATGTTTTGTATCAATAAATAAATCCAATAGATTGAAAAGATGAGATATTTTGCGTTTTTCAAATGTTTCAACTAGGAATGATAAATTTAATCTACTAAAAAAAGAAGATCAAAATCTAAGAAAAATACAACATTGAGATAAAACGTTATAAACTTTCTCTGTTGTCATGAAATTCTCAGTGTTATGTAAATTGTGGTTTTTTTTCTACAGTATAAATCTAATAAATAGTTTCTGAAAGACAACAATTCGATATTTAATAGAAGTAAAAACAAATCTTCTGAATGCTAATAAAAATGTGTTAGTGCAGTTTATATAGGATTTAAATATGAAAAACAATAGATCTATTTTTTCAATTGACTTTAATTTCATGACTAGACTTGTCGTGGTTTGTAAGTAGGGATTGCTAAAAAGTGTGGTGGTGAGGTTAATCCCTATATTTCAACACTCTTTATGTAGATTGTATTTGACAAATATTTTAAGATTCTTCTTTGTTATTTGTTGATTTGTTTCTTTTTGTTTTTTGAAAGTAGTGGCTTAGCCAGAAAATTAGACTAGAGGGGGCTCAGACCTCTGTGGCGACACTGACTGTCATCATTTTCTTACTTTTTCTCTGTCTTATGCTTCATTGCTTGACTTCTCTATTTTTCTTCTCGTATCTACGAGCGCGTTCTTCTTCTTTCTTTGATTCGTTTTATCGCTCTTTGAGTTTCGTGTTGTATTCGTTTCTATTGATTATAGTATCCATTAGTTTATTTATTCTTCTTCTGATTCACAGATGTGCCTTTTTTTACCATTCATCATTCTCTCTTCTTCTCTTCTTTTTTCTCTCATTGATCATTCAATACATCAGTGGGTCTTCATTCACTGACTCTCACTCGATCACTCTTGTCATCGTGGCATCTGGGCTCATATCCAGTTGCTTGTTTTAGACACAAGAGAGAGAGTAAAAAGTTTCCCACTATCGTTGTAAAGTTGATTCTCGCTGCTCTTCTTTTAGATGACTCTTTGGAGAATACAGGATAGAAAAAACGTTTTTCTCTTACTAAAATCTAAATTTTTTGACGACGAAATAATCATAGAAGAAATAAACATTCATCATTAGTTGCAGAAGAACATGTCGCCGAAAGCAGCAGCTTCTTGAAACTAATTAAAAAGGATTTGGCTCAAAACTGTACGATTCAGTAAAATGGGAAATCGTGCTTTGGAAGTAATAGTCACAAAATGATGTCATTTACTATCTTTTTATTGCTGATGCCACTCGATAATTAATGAAATTCTATTTCATATTCGAAGCTGAAATGAAAAGAAGCCGTCAATAAATCGAAACGTTACAGAAACGACCTAATTCGCGAAGCGAAAATTTTTCAAAATGCAAGGAAAGTTCATACTTCATGGTTTCCTAAGAAGTTTCTCTTCAAAATCTGAGCCTCTCTCTGTTATAAATGCTTGCTATTGTGAATACCTTCATAGAAATACAAATAATGATCATTATTATATGAATGAACTTTGAAACATTTTTGTTGAAAGGCTTATAGTTTTATAAATTCATAAATATTTTAAATAGAAATAAATAGAAAGAGATTTTTATCAAGTATTTATTAACTCGAGAAATATTTTAATTATAAATTAAATTCTAAATAAATTATGATTTGTGTCTTATCAAAAACAAAAAACATATGTATGTCTTAATAAATTACGATATACTTATTCGAAAGGTTTTTCTTACGCATCATCATAATAAATGTTTATTGAAAGAAACATCTGTTTATAATAAAATGTATCGATCATAGAGAAAACATATATAAATTTAAAAAAAAAAAAACTTTTTTTTATCATATTCAATTTATTTTTCATAGATGATTAATTTAATTGAAATAAAATAAGCAAGTAATCGTAGGATATCGGTCGAGAAAAATAGACATGCCGCTAATTACGAAAAAACCCAAGAAGACTGCCATTAGCCGCATTTTTCTAATCTCAATGATTTTAACAAAAACTACGAAATAATAATTTGTAACAGCTGTTACTGATATCAAATATTCATGAAAATTTTAATTAACTGAGAAAAACTTTTATTTATCTTCAACAAAATCTTTGATGATTTAAAATACACTTTATGCCTATAATCATTTTCTATTCACAAACATATTATAATGTATAACTGTAGTTCAATATTATGGTTATTTTACTAAACTTGAGAAAATATTTTCAGTTTATATTTTTTGAGAAAAATTTAAAAAGGGTTTCTTTGTTTCATAACAGCTGATATGCCTTATATATCAATGAATTTTTATAAAGAGATTTATTATTTTAAAGGAATAATATTTATTGTATTTTTATAAGACTATTGTAAAATGAAAATATTTTATTAAACTTCCTCTTAAAAATTATTTATTTTTGATTATTTGGCACTTTTACACATTCAATCATTCATAACAATTATAGAAAACTCGGAGAAAAATATAAACACAATCAGAAAATTAAAGAGAAAAAATATTTCTTATTTATTGAATTCATGTCCACATGATGAACAAAATCTAGCCGACAAATCTTGTCTCGGTTAATTACAATGAGAACAAAATGCTGCTAATTGATGATAATAAGGTGGTGGAGGTGTATAGTTATCTTGTTGTTCATAAAAATATGTTGGATCAGGAACAACTTGACTCGATTGATATGATAGATTTCTTCCATTATTAGAACGACCAATATCAATAACCAACTAAAACAAAAATCTAATTTTAAAAAAGTGTCAATCAAATTTATTATAAATAAAATATATATCTAGAAATTTATTTTCTTTATTCAATGTTAAATAATTACTATTTAACATTACATTTTATATTATAATCAATATTATGTTGTTTGTTTTTTAATTATCAATAATTTCGTTTAAATAAATAAATCTTACATGATAAACAAGTTGAGTATTATGATGATATCCATATCCTCGAAACCACGCTCTAGAAGTATCTAATCTCCAACTACATCCTATTGGTAATCTTGATGAATATTTAATTGATTCTTCACTTATTACTTGTTGCAATCGTCCTAATCGTCTTGATTGTATCATAAAACATCCACAAGCGAAAATAATTGGTCCGATTGCAGTTAAAGCAATACCTACACCAATTAATACAGGAAATCCATGTTTACCTGAGTTAATATTTGTTATTCCTCCAACAATAAAAAATATAAATCCAATTATAATGGTTAAACAAAAACCAATAGTGAAAATTATTAAAATTTTATTTGAAGAAATTGTACGATTTATTTTATTAATTGATTCTCGAAATTCCTGTTGATTAATTATACCATTTAAATGTATT